AAGTGTGTACAGTTTATATGGGCTGGAATGAACTGATTCTAAGATAGTACTAATTTTGATGTTGACACTCTAAATGAATGCAGGAGAATGAAAAAACTGCTTTGTTCAATTGTTATTGTATGCATACTTGCCCTCTTTTATAAGTCTCTCCTCTCAAATGTAAGTATGTGGTACTTCTGTCTTCTGGTGTGAAAGTCCCACAAAGGAGTCAGGCATCATTGCTGAAAACAGAGATGCAGACTTAACTATCAAGACACATTTTATCTGGAATAATCAGATATTTTCTCTGAGAATAGCCCATGACTATTTTACTCTATAATATGTGAGAAAAAATGGATTATTCATAACTGAGGCCTACAAATATAACTAATATTATAATCTTTGCTTCTTTAAAGCAAACTTCAGTGGTATCGGGGAAGCAATCCCATTAATCTTTGCTTCTTTAAAGCCAATTTTATCGGGATTGTAGAAGCAATCCCATTAAAGCTTCTACATTGACTGGATACCCTCTCTTAGAACTAGCAAGTTAGTTTTAAGCACAATATAACATCTATATATATCTTTCAAGAACTGTATGGCTTGTACCAAGCAGAGGTGGTCGTCCCTCAGTGGTTTCTCATCATACAAATGAAATATGCACTCCAGTAGCAGTACTATTCTTTCCTGTATTAGTGTCTTGTCTTCTTTCCTGGCTAATTTCAGACGCTTCAAAGAAAAGTGTGTCATGAACAACTACTTTGGCATTGGACTAGATGCGAAAATTTCTCTGGAGTTCAATACCAGAAGAGAAGAACATCCAGGACAATACAAGTAAGGGGAAGAAGCTCCACTCTCTAAATGAATACACACAATCACAACACACATATGTATTCCTACATTCCTACATCAGACAAGCAACAGGAGAACAGAGGTCCTTTGAAAGTTATGTGTATTAGTCCCAAGACTATCCTAGTGGGATAACTTGCCCCAGATGGCTGGTCTCTGATGACTGCCCTGACATCCTAAACTTGGAGTTCCCTTCTTGGTCTACCTTCATAAAACGATGTATAAATGTAGCTACCTCTATTATTGTTATTGAGAATAGGTTACATTGAGCTTTATTTTGTCTATGAGAGCTTAACTAGGTCTTAGTAGAGGATCCAGGTCTGGTTTTATTTGCCAAGGTTACAAACTGTAAAAGATACTTCTAATGTTTCTTGGTATTCCCCATTGGTTCCTTCGGACGGACTGATTAGTATTGGCCCACTTGGTGCCTTCTGGTACTTCTATCCTGCAGATAAACTCTAATGCCATCTTGAAGTTCTTATAAATTGAAAGTATAAATAAAAAGGGCCATACCCCTGCCACTGCCACTGCCATTGGAACCTGTTGCTCAGAAAAGGCCTGAGATGAAGAACAAATACATAATTAGATATGTGATTTACAAATAGTTTCTCTCAGTCTATTGGTATCTTTCCATTCTCTTAGTGGTATCTTTTAAGTATAAAAGTTTTTAATTTTTGTGAAGCCTTGTTAATGTTTTTCTTTATGAGCTATGCCTTTGGTATCATATCTAACCTAACTCAAGGTCTTTAAATTGTGTTTCCTTCCAAAATTTTATAGTTTTCACTCTTATATTTGAGTATATGATGTACTTTGAATTAATTTTTTTGTATGGTGTGAACTGATAGTCTAAGTTCATTCTTTTGTGTGAAGATATTTCAATGATCTCAGTTCCATAACTTTTAAAAAGTTATCATTTTCACAATTAATTATTTTGGCATCTTTGTCAAAATTTAATTGGCAATATAAATTAATTGGCAATTAGTTATTTTGGCAAATTTGGCAATATAAAAGTTTATTTCTGAGCTCTTCTGTTTCATTGATCTTTTGGTCTATCTTGTACAAGGAACACACTGCTTTGGTAGCTGTAGTTTTATAGTAATTTTGAAACAGGGAGAAGAAAGACTTCCAACCTTGCGTTTTTTTTCAGAATTATTTTGCATTTTCTAGGCATTTTGTATTTCTACATAATTAAGCCTTTTTTTGTCTTTTTGAGACAGGGTCTCCCTGTAGCCCCAGCTGTCCTGGAACTCACTATGTAGACCAGGCTGGCCTCGAACTCACTGAGATCCGCCTGCCTCTGCCTCCCAAGTGCTGGGATTAAAGGCATGCACCACCACACCCGACTTTATTTAACTGACAAAACTAAAGTACCCAGAATTATTTTTTTGTTTCACACATGGTACAAACAATTTTGTGCTAACCTTATTATGTTTCAAAATATTTCAAAAGTCATTCCCTGTGGTGGCTCATTTCTATGACTTTAAAGGTCAAATTATATCCAGTCCTTCTAGGGAGTCTAATCTGTCTCCTTTTATAACAGATCTTATAGTCAACAAGACCCTATTTTTCTTAACTTTATCTCAAGTCACCTGTTTCATATTTTCTCCACTGGTTCTTCTTCTAAATTTTTCCTACTAAGCTGAGCACTGTTCTATGACATTGAAGTATTTAATATATGGGTATAGTGTTTGGAAAAGACTTCTACTTTACCCAAAAGGTCACTGCTTCAGAAAGTTGCAGAGTCAAATGTTTCCAATAAAATTGATTCCAAACTGCTGAAATTTTGTCCTCCTGGAATGGCACTGGCAATTAATTGGTGTGTAACAGCCAGATACTCCTCCGGCTTTTTATGAACATTGCTTCCTGAATACTCTGTTTGTTCCAAACCAAGACCAATATTAGCAGCAAAGAAAAGTTGAAATTTTGACGACCAGTAGGATTCTGTGGTTTCAAAGGATCCTGTGAACTCATTTCTGAAGCCATTCGCATGAGAATACAGTTATACAATCTTAGCAGCCCTCTTTGTGTTCAGGTACCACTTAAAATTATTCCCCATCCTCTGCAAGACTGTACTTGAGAAACAAGATGGTTTTTCTTCCTGTTTTCCCCAACCCATTTATATTTATATTATTCACCTTCTGACTATCTTTTTCTGCTCTTCTCTCCCCATAGTAGCCGCCTTAAGAACAAAATATGGTATGGCCTGCTGGGAAGCAAGGAACTTTTACAACGTTCTTACAGGAAACTAGAAGAACGAGTACACTTGGAGGTTAGTGGAAAAGGGAGTGTTTCCTGGGCATGGAAAAAGGAAATCTCAAAATCTTGGAAAACAGCTTTCCACTGCATCTTTTGTTCTTCGCACTCTTTAACTCTGTGAGCCTCACTCAGTGCATGGAAAGAAAGCACAAAGTCAGATTTCCATTTTATGGATAAAAATGATAACATAAAGAGAAGACTGAGCCCTTCCCCATCCCTGTAAATGTCCCTTCACATTGATATCTGAAAATTCATCTAATAAAGTGCTACTCCTTTCCTTCAGTGTGATGGAGAAGCCATCCCCTTGCCAAACCTGCAAGGTATTGTAGTGCTCAACATTACCAGCTATGCTGGAGGTGTCAACTTCTGGGGGAGCCATACAGCGACCACAGTGAGTATGGTACAAGGAATGGAGTTGGAAAGAGGCATGGCTCTACTAAGTTGTCATAGAAAGGAGAGTTGGGCCGACTGAAGTGGAAAATAGATAGTCGGTGGGGGGGGGGGACATGCTGGGATTAGTTTTTAGACAGTTTCTGTTCCAGAGCATAAGAATCAACCAAAGCCTTGAGGATTTTGTGATACTGGATTTTGACTCTTACACTCCTCAGGCCTAATATATCCATGAAAGATTACCCAGACCATGTTCTTTAGGCCAAGGAGGTCTGTCGGTGAAAATGTGCTTATTATTTTAGAATTAAGCTAAGCTTAATTGAAGATAGAATTGAGGCTAAGCAAGAAAAAAATGAAGTTCGTCTCTTTAAAATTATATTTTACTTGCTATTAAAGAAAAATTTTATACAATTTTCTATTAAAGAAATGCAATATTTATATATATCTGCATAACAATCGCTCCAAATTTATAATGGAAACCACAGTTAGTTTAGACGTGCAAAATTTGTTTTAACTTTGGTGAACTGTATTTATATGTATGTTTCAACAAAGTTTATATTATAGCCAAAAAAAAAAATCTCCTGGGAAACTAGCCATGAGCCCTTTCCTAAGAATGACCTCAAGGAATTATGATGCTAGATCAGACAGAAAAGAAACTGGCTTAGATATGATTTTCAAAGGAACTAAAATGTATTGTGATCTCAATTCCCTTTTCCTAGCTTGGCTTCCTCACCTCAATTTTTCCTCCTTTAATACCGTTTTCCCACTTCATTATGAACTAGAAAAATGTCAGAGAGTCCTTAAAGCATATTGATAACTAAGTAGATTCTCAGGAGTAGAAATTATGACATGGTTGTTCTTCTCCAGGAATATGAAGCTCCTGCAATAGACGATGGAAAGCTGGAGGTAGTGGCAATCTTTGGTTCTGTGCAGATGGCTATGTCTCGTATAATCAACCTGCATCATCATCGCATAGCCCAGGTAGGTAAGAGTTGTGTGGACACAAGAAGGGGCTAAATTTTCTGGCTGCAAACCAAGGATGTGAAGTAATCTAAGGAATTACCTTGAGAATAAGAGTTCCTAGGTGGAGGAAACAGATAACGTGGTAGATAGCAAGGTGTTGAGTGATGAAGATAGATGTGGCTGGGACCAAAGAAAAAAAGAAAATAGGTGTTTCTCTCTGACAGCCTGATTCATATCATTCACCAGTTCATCTTCAGATATACATTCAGACTGTGACTGAAATTATAAGATTGGTCTACTCATTTTTCTCCCTTTTCTCTCTCCCCTTTTCTGCTAGTGCCATGAGGTAATGATAACCATTGATGGTGAAGACGGTATCCCCGTGCAGGTAGATGGGGAAGCCTGGGTTCAGAAGCCTGGCCTCATCAAGATTAGGTACAAGAATGCTGCCCAGATGCTGATGAGAGATCGGGTAAGAGGAGAAAAAGTAAAACTTGGGCTCCTACACTGCCTCATTCATAATTATCACACTGGACATTTCTAGTAAAGAATTCCTCAAAGGGAGGTCTGTATGCCCCTTGTTTTAGTCACCTGGAGTGATGTTTATTAATGCATATACCTTGGTCCCACATCAAATCCACTGAACTGAATGGAGAGAGGCGGTTCCCCGGAGTTTGCATTTTGGAAACCAGCTCCTGAGGACATGCTTATATACAATGATATTTGAAAATCACTGTCCAAAACACAAATATCTCCCTTCTATGATTTTAGATAAAGTTATCCTCCACCCTGCACTGCACCAAGACCTAAATACCTTAAGTGTTAATGGAGAAATCTACTCTTTCAACAACAGTTTCTACACTGAATACGTCCTCTTCAGGCTCCTGTAACGATCCTTAATATATTACACTTATAGATGTCACCCATTTAGGCTAAATATAAAGCTACAATAATGGTGATGATGTCATTATTGATCAGTTGTTCAGTGCTTGGAGACTATCTTCTGAACTATGAATAACCCACATCAAGAGTGGGAGGGAATGTTGACCTGTAAAGTGCTTACCTTGTGCTGGGCACTTTGCATAGGTTGCCCTACATAGGTCCTTCCAACAGTTCTATAATGTAGATGCACTTATTTCCATTTTGAGAGGTTAAATAACTTCTTAACAGCCACACAACAAGTAAGGAACAAAATAAGAATTCAAAAATAAATTTCATAGGGCTGGATCTAAATTCTATCACAACATATTATTTATATTTGGAAAAGAAGGGAGCATGAAAGGTACTACACTCTCTTATCAGTCACCATGACATCATATCTGAGCTTCTAGAAGGCAGACATTTGCCTGATTCAACTGTGATTCCATGAGTCAGTGTACTAATAACAATAAAAATGAGTGTAAGTTACACAGAATAGACATTGAATAAAAGGACAGATTGATGCATAGACAGATAAATGGGGGAATGGGTAGAGGAGACTCACTCCCCTTTACCAACTATAACCTGGACAATGTCACACTCAAAGACAGCTCTGTCATGTGTCCTTATAACTATAGCAATCATTAGAACCTGCCACCATATTCATCTCTAGGACTTTGAAAATTCTATGAAAATGTGGGAATGTAAGCATACTGAAGTTCAAACTGCACCTCAACCACAGCTGGACTCCCAGGAATCTCAAGATAGCCTCTCAGACAATGAGTATGCCCAGATACAACACTTGGCTAGGCTTGCAGAAAACCTCATTAGCAGGTAAGTAGACTGGCCTAAATACAAAGAAGGAAACCCCAAAAAGGATAGGGAGAGATAGTCAATTGATGTCTGTTGGCTACTAGGGACCTTAGCCTCAGAAAGGCATCTCATTGGGTGCTTTGAAAATTGGGACCCTGACAACTCACACAACAAATTTTTGTGCTTAACAACAAGCCAGCTTTCACATTTTCCATTATTCCTGGAGATGAATTTTCATTTTCTCCTGCTTCCCCAGACCCAGTTGGAATAAGAATGTTTGTCCTGAGCCAGCAAGATGCTTGTCAATTGAAAATGCTTGTCACCAAGCCTAAAGGCCTAAATTTGATTCCCCATGGCCCACATGGTAGAAGAGAACCAACTCCTAAAAATTATACTCTGATTTCGACACACTTGCCTTAGCACGTGTGTGCACATACACACACACACACACACACACACACACACACACACAAATAAAGAAATAATAAAGTTCTAAAAGAATGTTTATCCTTGCCCTTAACTATCACAAAGAACTTGAAGTTTCAACAAGAGTCAGCTATGCTCCTTTATTGAAGTTTCTCACCCTATTCAAGCTCCCGGTATCTAAATTCAGGTGAAACATGAATAAACAAAGGTAAATACCTAAAGAACAGTAGAAACATTTTCCAGCATCAGTGGATACCTAGTAAAGAGCAGAAATAGCAAGGTGTAAAGAGTTCAAATCCAGTACCCAGGGTTTTCATTTTTACCCATATCCCAACCCACCAGCACCTCACACCAGAAATCCATAACACTGAACTTATTTATATATCCTTAATTTATTACAGACTTAATGACCTGAGCAAGGTCCACCAGCATGTGTCAGTCCTCATGGATTCTGTGAATGCCAGTGTTAACATGCTGAATGATATATTCTATGGTCAAGGCAGTAGCAATGAAGCAGGTGCAGTTTCCTGTACTCCCATTGAGGTAAGGGGGTTAGGAAAGCAAATGAGTAAAAAGGAGTCAAGCTACATAGGAAAGGGGTTTAAAGGGAAAGAAAGGAGAGAAAATTAAATGAAAAAAGACTGCAAGTGATAGGAAGGGGGCAACATGGTCAAAATATATTGGATGAATTTCTTAAAGAAGTAATAAAAACGAGGGGAAAAAACTGGTTAGAGTCAGTAAAGTGTTTGCCATACAAGCACAAGTAACTATGTTCAGATCCCCAGAACCTATGTAAACAGTCAGGCATGGGCAGAATGCTCCTATAATTCCAGCACTGGGAGGTAGAGAAAGAAAGATCTCAGGGGCTCTCTGACCAGGCAATCTGGACTAATCACTGCATCCCAGGTTCAGTGAGAGACCTTATCTCAAAAAATAATGTAGACAACAGTTGAGGAAGACACCTTACATCAACCTATGGCCTATACAGAAATACACATACATATGTACCCATGCATCCTCACACACATATACCACACACACCATAAAAAAAATAAATAAAGGGGCCTAAAGAGATGGCTCAGTGGTTAAGAGCACTGAGTCTTCGTGGAGAGGACCCGGGTTCAGTTCCCGGCACCCAGATGGCACCTAACAACCATCTGCAACTCCACTTTCAGGGGAAGCCAGCACCCTCTTCTGACCTCTGCGGGCATTGCATGACACAGGTGTTCTCACATACATACAGGCAATACACTCTTACACAGACACACACACACACACGCACACACACACACACACACACAAATAATAAAATAAAATAATAAAGTGGATAGGAATTCAGGCTTTTTTTATTATTACAAGGCCAAAATGGCTACTCTGGATATTCCACAACATATTTCATCATTCTGAGAACTAGTTTTTCTCCTGATAGCTATTGACCACATCAGCCTCAGTGAGAAATGGCTAATTTTTTCTATTTAGAAAAAAAAAGTCTTGAACCATCCTGATTTCAGTTGGTTCCCTGTATAATTCGATAAGATCAGACAGTTAATAGTTAAGGTACCATCCCATGCCTCTATCTACTGCCCAAAGATTTGAATGACGCTTTCAAAAAGTAACTTTAGATTTGGAGATGTAACTTAGTGGTAGATTGCTTACCTAGCTTGAATGAGGCCTTGGATTTGACTCCCTACACACACATACACACACACACACACACACACACACACACACACACACACACGAGAGAGAGAGAAAGAGAGAGAGAGAGAAACTTCACTAATAGGCAAAAATACAATTGGGTTAGGATATACTGAAATGGCTATTTATTTTAGGACAGATTCTAACTAAAGGAGACCCAAAGTCCAAGAGTTTCTAAGGAGAAGTTTCCTGAAATTTACTCTCTGGTTTGCAGATTTCCTAGTTTCCTATACTCACTGATCACCCAATCAGTGACGTCTAAAGCTGAGTTGTACTGTTCCACTTTGTAGGGCACATCAATATATCTGTATCAGTTGATACCTAGCATCAATTCTGATTGGTTGGTACCCATGCTGTATGAGCTATGTTATATTTCAAATATGGCTTCCCCACCTGCAGCCACATCCTACTATTCTGTTCCTCCCTTCCCATGGAGAAGGCGGCCGCATTTTTACTAATCAACTCCTCCATCTTGTCCTTTCCCTTCCATTCTTTTCCTTTCTTTCCCTCTCAGACTCTAAGCAGAAATGATGCAGTAGATGTTACATTTAGTCTTAAAGGGCTCTACAATGATACCAAAGCTTTCCTGGATGAAAACTTGGTGAGTGCAGGGGATTGGAGCATGGGAAGGAAAACATCTCGTGGGAAGATGGTTATAGTCTATGGTTGGTTCAAGGATACTAGAGACATGGGATCACTTTAAGTAGGTGCTTACCTGACAGTTCCTGTTGTCACTCATTATTGTTACTTGAATATATTACATTATATGTTGTGCTAATCCTTAAAACTATCATATTTTGGATGAAAGTTTCTCCCTCTTTGGTTGATGTCTCCTGTGCCAAGACCAGGCCAATCAAAAGCAGGGTGATCTCATTATACCTGATATAATGATATATCTGATAGAGCTGCAATAGAGAATAGTGAGCTGTTCAGAAATGATCTTCATCTCAAGTTTCTGCATAATTCTTCCTCCAAGTAGAAAGGCAATAAGTAGAAAAGCAATGTGGAATTGGGGGGGGTGTTGGAGGACTCTGGGCTCAAACCCAAATCTGCCACTTACTATCAATATTGCTTTCCTAAGGCTGCCATAACTAAGTACCAAGAATTACATGACTTAAAATAGCAGAAGTAAGTTTCTCACAGTTCTGGAAAATCCAATTTCAAAATCAAGGTGTCAGCAGGGCTGTGATCCATCTAAAAACTATAAAGGACTCTTTTCTTGTCTTTTTCTAGCTCCTGGTGGTTTTCTGGCAATCTGTGTTGTTCCTTGGCTTATAAATACATCACTCCAATCTCTGTTTCCATATTCAAATAGCATTCTCTTTATGTGTCTCTTTCTTCATACAGCCATCTTCTGCCAGTGCCATCGATCATCGTTGATTAGGGCCTGCATTATCCAGTATGACCACATCAACAAAAATTGCATCTGCAATAACTACAATTGTATCTAAGGTTATATTCTGAAGAACTGGGAATTAGTGCGTCAACATATCTTTTGAGGGGCATAGTTCAACCGATAACACTAACTGTGTGAGATAACTTTACCTCTCTCAGCTTAGTTTTCCTATCTTCAAGATAGGAATTGTAATGCCCATCTTTATAGGATGCTGTAAAGATTTAACAAACTATTGTAGCTTAAGTTTCTGGCAATGCCTGTTACACAGTAGTGGCTGAAAAGATGGGAGTTATCAGTGCTGGGGAGAATGGACTAAGACTATGGGGACTACATTAGTTACATGTTTCTCAGAATGTAAAGTCCACACATGGGCACAGGTGATTATTCTTTGATAAAGCAACTGACCATAATCATTCAACTTTAATTGTGGCTGCTAAGACCCTGAGGCAAATGTTGTGCTTGCTTCTGATATAATTAAATTTATTTGAAGAAGAGCTTCTGAGTTGAAATTTCAAGAAATATATCCACTTCACCTTTCAGTTATATATCCAATTGTCACACTTCCTTGGAAGCAGAGTGGCTATGGCACTCAGACAACTCTGTTCCAACATCTGAGCCCCAAACTAGGTTGTTTTAATTTTAGACAATTGCAATACAAATACTGAACTCAATGTCCTTCCTAATTTGGTCATCAGTAAATAAAGGAGGTTGGATTCTCATTGCTACTTAAGCTTTCTTAAAGCTCATAGCTTAAAAATTGGTCCATGCTATGCAACAACCCAACTTACCATGAAGTGAAAGCCTTTAGAAGGCTTCCATCCCACAGGACTTGTGAAGATCTACACACATATATACATCAAAATGAGGCTAGAAGGCACAAAGCAGATAAGAATAACCATTAGTTCCCAAAAAGACTGTCATAGAGGGGAAATGGATATAAGTCTTGTTTTATTTAGGTATTATTCCTCCTCTTGAAGAACTATGGCAGTAAAAAGCATAACATTGGCAAAAGAATGTGTTATCTTTCTATTACTCTAATATACACCTGAGAAAATAAACTCATAAAGAGAAAACTTTTTTAGCTCACAGCTTTGGAAGATGCCATCCTTTCATGACTAAAAATGGAAAAAGGGGACGCTAGGGACCCACTATCCCTTTCAAAGGTTTTGCTTCAGTGACCAGAAGACTTCTAACCAGGCTGCACCTTTTAAAGTTCCAACTACCCCCAATAGCACCAATCTAAGGACAAATAGGGGCCTTTAGGGGACATCCTACATCTAAACTATAGTGAGGATATAGTTTTTTATGAAGCGAATACCACCCAATAATTCCCATCCATCTGAGCCATACTGTATTGTCCTAACTTGCAAAGCAAAACAAATTATTTGTTAGTGTTGACTTGCTTTTTCCTCTATATTGTGTTCTGACTGGCCATAACCTCTATTACATCTCCTGCCCATTCACTTGCCACACATTTCCGACAAGTGGCAAGGCTCTACATGTGGCTAGAACATAAGTATCTTATAGATAGCAAGAAGTCATAGAAGTACAAAATTTAGAGTAGAATACATGATAGGGAAAACTGAGTCCAGGTTAGCATGCCTTGTGCTTTCTGTGAATATATATATATATATAGTGCTTCTATGGGCTCAGCTTATTACCTATTGGAATATGAAAGGTCTCACCTGTACTACTGATCTGGAACTTGGAGACGGTCTCAAAGAATATATCATAAATGTCCCATGCACAGCAGAGTTCATCTTGTGGCTGCTGGGAAGTTACTAGTGACAACTTAAATATGCTTTTATAAACCTACAGAACAAGCCATCTGAAACTTGTTTCTTAATTACTAAGAGCAAATAGAACTTACAGCACAGTCTGGAGAGGAAGACCCTCTGCCAGGAAGGGTAAATTTGAGCCTATCTTTCCATAACCTCGCCTTGCTTTACACAATATCTTTTAAATTGGAATGTGTAACAAATATCCCTCCAGCACCTGCATACTCCACATAGCCTTTGTGAAATAGTGTACCGAATTAAACAAATATTGGTTCTGTCTAGCCATGTGATCTTGGACACTAAACTTCTTTAATTCTGCTTTCTCACCCATGAAATGAGAGCAATCATACCTTGCAAGGTATTATAAGTTTATTGGGAAGAGGAAATGAAATCATGTATTCATAGTGCCTGATATACATTATATGCTCAAAACTTTGTGGTAGCTGTTACTTAGCAAGATATTAAGGTGGCTCCAGAAACTTGAAGTCAAGAGTAAGACACTTGCCCTAGACATTAAGCCAAAGGGGAAAGTTCAGTACTAATTTATACTAGAGAAAAGACCTTTGCTTGACACACTGTGAGCATGCCGAGCCTCCAAGGAGAGCTCTGCAATCTATTGTTTCTTGGATCTCCACGTTGAGGAGGAAGAGTGCTGTCTAAAGTGAATACCCCCTTTGAGAACTAAAAGAGCTAGTTATAGGCCAGGTAAACTACAAGTTGTCATCCTGTGTTGTCTTGGCCATTAGCAGGGGTTTGGAGTAGAGTCTAAGAAGGCAGAGCGCTAAGAAATATGCATTCACTGTTCTCCCTATCTGTCCCAGTTGAGAAATGCTGAGGATGAGGTCATACTACAAACTGCCCTGGATGCCATGAACTATGAGTTTAAAAAACTGTTGGAGATTGACTGGATGAATCATATCCTTGTTCCAGAGGTGCGTAACCTGGGGAGGGTGATTTTCCCTTGGTGCCTTACCTGGAATTGTGGGGTCAAGTACATAGGACTGCTATAGCAACTGTAGTAGGAGTCCAATGCAGCTTTCAGCCTCAGCATTATGGATCATCCACTTCCCCATATCCTCATCATAAGTGGAGAGAACAAAGCAGAGAACACAGATGACTAGGTGACCATAGGAAAATAACCAGAAAGAATACATGCTCTAAAGCAGGAGATGATCAAGAAAGAATAAGCAAGGTTGTAATGGTTCTGTCTTGTTCTCCAAGGTTACAAATTCCCTCTCTCTGATCAATATCTTATAATAGCACTGAATTTTATCTGGTACATACCAGCATGGCCATGCCAGTTTTTTACAAACAACTGTCCTAAGTGGTTGGCATATTGGTAGTTAAACCTTCCAAATACCACCTCCTAGTTATAGGCCAGGTAAACTACAAGTTGTCATCCTGTGTTGTCTTGGCCATTAGCAGCTGCCAATTTTGAAATACTTTGAGTAATTTTCTAAAATTAGAAACTTTTTTTCCATTTCATAAATCAAATAACCCAAACAGGGCCACAAGGTAAATTAACTTTGCAGTCTGACAAAGATTTTCTTAAAACTTCCCCACCATAGAAGCATTCACTCCGAATTTAGAATCCCTACACCACACCCCCCATTATAGCTATTTTCTGACCCCAAACATTGTGTGTGAGTAATCCATACAGGCATGTTTAGAGTAGTGCAGCAATAAAGTTACCATTTTGGAGGGGAAATCATATATAAATTCAGATCTTAAAAAAATTAACAATTTTCTTATATGACTTTGGTCATGGTCCAAGCATTTACAAGGCCTTGTATACTTGATGCTTTTAGCAGTAGCTCTCTAGGGAAAGAAGACATACTGATAAACTATCAAAGAAACAAATTCTCATACTCTGTTCCATTTTTACCTGGTTCAATTATCTCTCCTTAACTCCTGGGCTAAGCAAACTAGCTTGATATTGAGAATAAATGAGACAAACTCAACTCATGCCCTGGGATCCCAACTTATATGTGAATCTACCTGGCCTGGGACAAAATTTCTTTTCTGTGCCCCAATATTTCCACAGAAGTGAAGCCTTGAAGAAGGGAAGTAAATTAAAAGCAAGCCAGGGACATGTTGCTTTTTCACCTGAAAACAAACATGCTTACCTTGAAATCACAGAAGGTTCAGGCCCACTTTTCTGGGGGAAAGCAGAATAAGAGCCAATAATTTATTGGGCCTTTCAAGGCTATAATCAAAGACAAAGTCCTGTCTCTTTCTTGAGATTTTTTATGAAAGGCAGTTCCTAAGGTTGGGATACATATCTAAGAGCAGTACTAGAAAGGGGAGGATATGTAGGAATCAGAGCAGGAAAGCGAGTAAAGTAAATTTATAATCTCCTAATGGTGAGGGCAGGGTAGTGTAACTAACCCCGACAGGAAGATAATTCCAATCTTCTTTGTGTTGTGCTTGGATAGATTTCCTGATAATAAAGTTAACCTCAGAATTGTTTTACTAAGACCAGGAGTAAAATTAGAATGCTTTCACAGGAACGAGATGTGACCTGGAGCATGAGCTGGAATTACAGAGCCTGTGTTACCTGCATAGCAAAAAATATTACATTCATAATTAAGGGAATTGTTTAGAGAACCCTCTGCATTCCCGACAGGGAAAAAATTACCTGTGAGGTAGTGTCTTCCCCTATATGAAGGAACTTAGCTGAGTGGGTAAGTATGTGTGAAGGAAGAGATACGTTTTTCTAATTAATAAACAGGTGCCAATTCTAATTAATAAATAGGTGCCAAATAGGTATTAGTGGCTCCAATAACCCACATGACCTCAAGTGTAATATTTAATCTCTGTGAGCCTTTGCTTCATTTCTAATATAGGAACGCTAATAGCCAATTTCCAGCTTGTTTAGAGGCTTGGAAAAGTATTTACCTAGCAAGATAAATGTGTCCAGCAAGGTAGCTAGCATAGAGCAGCCTCTTGTTAAAGCTCAATTCTTAGAGCATGTGATCAGTGAATAAGGGTGACTCTCATACCTGGTTAGAGAACAGGTCTGCCTGTTTCTGGAAACCAAACTCATGATGTTTTTGTTGTAAACCTTAGCCTTTAAGGGCTAAGTTATCTCTCTAACCACTGTTTACCTTTTTTTAAATTTTTATTTATTATTTTTATTTTATGTGTATGCCTGTATTGCCTGCATGTAGGTAAGTGCACGCATGTTGTGCAATGCCCGCAGAGGTCAGAAGAAGCTTTCAGATCCCCTGGGACTGGAGCTATGGACAGTTGTTGGCTCTCATGTGGATGCTGGGATTTGAACCCGGGTCTTCTACAAGAACAACCACTGTTCTTAACTGCTGAGCCATCTCTCCAGCCCCATCACCATTTTCTTTCTACACCCATCCTTGTCCATCATTTTGAAGAGACTACAGGAAGTGCTTCTGAATGTTAGGATAATTAACATTTTGACCTTACTCTTGCTGTGGTTTTGCAGGAAAAATCTTCAGACATGAACAGTAGAAGCCATAGGTTGAAAGTTAAATTCCCTAAGTTGGGGAAAAAGAAGCGAGAAGAGGAAGGAAAGCCTAAATCAAGACAAAGAGTTCATGGTTTTCTTGGTAAGTCTAATCCACAGGCATAGGGGTCATGAACATCACTCCAAGAGCATAAGTGCCTCCCAGAGACCTGAAACTCCCCCTTAAAAAATGTTCATGGGCATGGTGGAAAGAGAGACTCCATAAGGAAGCCAGTACTGGGTAATATCAAGTGAGTAGTCTTGGGGGCAAGGTATAACTTAGAGTGATGTGGACTCTAACTCAAAAGGGGAGAACCTGAGAAGGAATGTTATGTGGAGGCTCTATGGCTGAAATAAAAACTTCAGTCAGGCAGTTATTCTTCTGCTTTGACCCATTCCTAATGGTCAGAGATAGGTTCTTTGACCTATCTAAATCCCTTTTTCCATATCTGTTATGGAAAATCCCTGGAAATGCAAAACTTGTATAATATGAATTTTGTTTTTATCCAGTCCTTCTTTATGATTGGCTCTAAATCGTGTTGAAATGTTAGTGGGATTCAAAAGAAGACTCTCCCAGAATTGTCAGTTGTTCCGATTCTTGTGTTCACAGTCGCTCCTAAATCTGAGACTTAGGCAACATGCAACCTTCAAAATATGGCATTAGCAGACATAGGGAAAAAGGGTTAGAGGGCAGAATTTAAGAAACTACAATTTCACAAATGGCAAGAGAAAATCTTTTAGACAAAGATGTATTTTCTCAGGTATAGTCCAACTTGTTTGATTGCCTAAGAGTCTGACATTTGGGAGTCTCTGGTGTTTTGAGAGTATTTCTGCAGACTCTGATGGTGTCAATAGCAGTTGCATCGATAATCAGGTTCTAAGAATGAATCTGATTATGTTTAGTTTGTATGGTATCAGGTGGATTTCTCTATGATTCACAGATAGCTGGTACAATAGAAACCAACCAGTTTGTCTCCTGACAGACTCTGCTCTTTCTGGGACCCACACATTTAAGCATCCAGCAAAGTACTATCTTCATTATTTCTATGCTTTTTTCTCTGAAGGTAATTTGTGGCATCGCAGAAATCGTGAAGGTGAAGCAAAAGGTGATGATTCTCCAAAACCATCAAGTTCTCAGCTATAGTCCTTGAAAGCTGGAAGGAGAACTCCTCTCAGCACAGAATTGAACTAAAAACTCTCAAAACCTCAATAAAGAGTGGACTAAATTATTTTAGAACAAATATGAGCACCACCAAGAAAGACCCTCCAAATCTTTATGCTAATATATTTTCCCTGGACATAATCAGGTCTCCTTAGAGGTTTGCATTTTTCTTATTGGCTAAAGATTTTTCTTCCGAGTTGTCTTGTTCAGTTCTCCTTCTGTTTTGTGTACCTTGAGCAACTACAGTATTCACTGGAGATAAAGTATGAATGACTTGGGATCTAAAAGGCTGCAAGGAAGTGCATCTCTTTAGGGAGTTGGGGAATGGGTCTCTCTCCCTGGCAGAGAAGCTGTTGACACTAAAGAATGAATGACAAACTCTCAGAAAGATGAAGAGGGAGCAGGACATCCAGGCTTGGTTTTGTTTATCCCCCAGTCCCTGCCAACTGCAACTTGAAACTTCAGAAAATCTCTCCTAGTTGGCTAATTAAGATGAGAATGAATGAGGTCCTGGGGGTTTGTCCACTTGTCTGTTACAATGACCATGTGAAACCTTTCCCTGTAGATATATACTCTTTTCTTCTTCTCCTCTCCTTTCCTTTCTCCCTCTTCTCTGTCCTCCTCCTCCTCCTCTTCTTTCTCTGCCTGTCCTCTTTTCCTCCTTCTGCTTACCCCCTCTCTCCCCTCTGACTCTTTGTGTTTTTCCATGTGTACATGTATGTCTTTATGCATGTCCAGGTGGTGCTCTAGTAGCTGGGTGGGCCCACTGGTTGCAACCATACAGGCTCCTGTCCTAGCCTTCATTTCTTCATGTAGTGCTTGCCTGCATTCTAGCTGAAATTTTTAACTAAATGTTTTGTCAATGTGCTGCAATATAGATTATATAGAGAGACATAAAGATGTACATATATACATATATATTTTTTTAAGAACTGAAAACACAACTCGACCTCTAGGTGACCCTTTAATTTATTGTGATAACCCAGGAATCCCTCCCCAACTACCCTACACACCTCTACCAACTGCCCTAGTTCTTGGTGGAGCTTCTAATCTTTTGGTGCATTTTTAGCTAATTCTGACATCCCCTTAAAGTTCTGAGCCAGGCCATAAAAGGGGAACAGAAAACCAATGCCCTATAGAAGGGACCAAGCTGGCATGCTGCCATTTTTGCTCTATTTGTCCTGGATTCTACATCAGCAACTGTCCAAGCTATATTTCCCCTTTCCTCAGTAAAAAGATAACATGGAGATACCAGACTTTGAGCTCTATAACAGATCACTGGGCTAAAGACTACCTGACACTACCTGACAATCAAGTTAAAGCCTGCACCTTTTGCCGTAAACTCGATCTTGACCTGTGTTTTTTGGACAGACTGTTAGGTCAGTCCCCAAATTACCTTCAGAACTCCCATCTTGTCCCTTTTCTCTGAGTGTAAGAGGGGTTGGCAGGGTGACCAGAAAGAACATGAGTCCAGAAAAATAAAGGCTAAAAGCCTCTGACTACCCCACTGTTGTTCTAACAAATTTCTCATGAAAACATACAAGGCTTAAATTGTTCCAAATCTTAATTTGAATCTTTTTTTTAAAAAAATGTACAGTCTCAGGTAAACCTAATGAAACCCCAGTGCTCAAAGTCCCTATTCTGCCTCTTGTCTCCACCCACCTTTAGGTTATACCTTTCTGCAAGTGTCCCTTTCCACTTATTAAGAAAAATTCAGAAAATTGTCCTCTCCCCACTTCTCAGCCAAACTTAGCGTGCTCAGTTATCTGACTCAGTCCAATGGCTGGTTCACTGAGGTGCACAATTCAGACTCTGATTACTGGTTCTCAACATCCTAACTCCACCAGCCTAACCCACTTAAACCAGCCACTTGTGTTCCACCTCTTAAGGGGTGAGGAAAAAAGACTAACAAGGGGATAGTTCCCCCAAATGTCTGATAGCTGTGCCAAACAAACAAAAATGTCTGGGTTCTACAACTAGAGAAGAAAATCAATGAGAAAAGATGACAGAAAACACTTAAAACTTATCTAAGCATTTACATGTTTACTCACTGTATGCATTCGAGTGGAGAGTGTGCTGTTTCTGTGCCTTTGGCTTTCTCTATATCACTCTTTCTTCCCAGGAAGAGGTGTCAGATCAAGTCACCAAGGTGTCACCATTGTAGTCAACTTTGCTCCTCCTTGGCTGCACAAACTAACAACTACACACACAGACTCTCTCTCTCTCTCTCTCTCTCTCTCTCTCTCTCTCTCCTCTCTCTCTCTCTCTCTCTCGTTGGGAACCATATTGCATTTTCTCAGAAGAGTCTTTTCAGAAGGGATCATTTACAAATAAGCAAATTCAAGGAAACCGAAGGAAATACTAGAAAACAGTAGCCTTATCTTGGTAGTGACTAAGCAGGGCTGTGTCTTATACTTACTGTTATCACTAATGATAGTCAATTGTAATAGGACTCCATCTCTGTGCTTACTTTGCTGAAATACCACAGGGCTTTGTATACTATAATGTTGTTATTGTTCTATTGTATACCTCTATTCCCACTCACCCTTCTTGTCCTCCCACCTGAGTCAGAATAATATTAAACAACATCTGTAGAATGGGGACTAGAACAAAATAGGAAGCAAAACTGATAGGCTTGGGAGCAAGTGTGGCTTGCTAAAATGGTACAGTTACCTTCTAAATTGTTTTGTTTACCATTTGCTTCCTAAAAAGGAAGATAGTAGTCTAAAACTCTGTTTACACGTGTACTCACTTGGAAACCTAATAAGAAATGATCCCTCTATCAAGGGAGTTGCTTTAGTCCTTGAGAACATAAGCTCCATTCAGGATTTCATTGTTAACTACTTGCAGTACTACAGTTGCTCAGGTGGTGGGACCAGACACCAAATATCCATCTCAGTTATGTACAGAAATCATTAAGAATCACAGGGTTATTTGCTTCTTTGGTAGCACTTTCTGAAGAATTGATTGATTGGGTGCCTAATTTCTGGCCAAAACAGTAGGGAAGGAAAGAAATTCTAATACATCTAAGCTTCCACCAACCACTTCCGGCATCAATGTTATAGGTGAACAGTAATGCAAAAGGCTCTATATTACATGCAAAAGGCAAGGAAAGAGTAAAGCAGATATTTTATTGTAATAAATGACCAGAAGAAACAATTGGGAGTCAACATCTTATTTCCTTAGGGCACATTAGAATTTCAGTTGTATGACAGATGGAAATTAATACCAAAGAAGCCAGACCCCACTCACACCTTTCCATTAAATAAGGGACTTTGATTGGCTATATTGTTTGTAAAATTTCATTTGTATATTTGTCTGATTATCTATAATACATTGTTGTTTTCTATTCTGTATTTTGTGTTTCCTCAGAGGCTCCTGCAAATAAGCAGCAGGGCCAGAGGCTGGTTGGGGGAGGAATCTAGAATAGTCATGGAATAACAGAGAAAAGCAAAAAGAAAAGATCCACAAAATGTGCCTAACCTTATTTGCCCTCCCCATAAAATGGAACACCAGTCCTCAAAATTAATAAAAAATATTTGCTTCTTAAAATATTTTAATAAATGGTAATAAATGGATAAATCTAATGGACACCTATGCCTTATTTACTTCAACTTGTGGGGAGCAGTTGAATTGTGGTTGAAGTGAGGGATTGGACTGAGGTGGTCGTTCAAGCTCTCAGTAAGGCACATACAGATAGAGTGGCAGGTGTCAGTAGGCAGCAAAACACAAGCCACAACTGTCCCTTGGTGTTGATTATGCTACTCAAAGGGCTGTTGCAACTGATTATAAAACCTAGCTGCAACTCAGGACATTACTGTGGGGAAATATCTGCTGCACTAATTGTTCTATTAGTCAATTCTTTGCAAGATACATATCTTAAATTAGTTAGTTATTGGATGGGGTGAAACAGGGTGGAAGAGTACACCCCAGGCTACTAAACAGAGGTTTACACAAAAGTAAGACATCTTGAAAAACTTTTCACAAAGCAATGTATTCTCCCAACACAAACAACAAACACTTTTCTCCCCTCAAAAAGAGTTCAAGGTAAGAAGGGTTTTGTTCAGATCCAAAATTGGTTAGCCCTACCATTGAAAATGATTTAGGGTTACTGAGATGGCTCAGTGGGTGAAGGTGATGGCCACCAAGCCTGACAACTTGAGTTCAATCCCTGAGACTCACATGGTAGAAGGAGAGAACAAACTTGCCTAAGTTGTCCTCTAACCTACACACACACACACACACACACACACACACACACAAATGCAATTTTAAAAAATAGTTACTTTTTGCTCTATACATACAGAGACCTTGGAGAGCCAGATATTAATTGCATGTAATAGGCAAGCAACTGAGGGTAAAGCAGACCACGATTCCACAACATGCTATATTAGTATGAGAATTCAAGACTTAAAAATATTAACTTTCTTTTTTATTTTGATTTTTTAAATTTTTTATTTTTATTTTATGTGTATGAGTGTTATGCCTGCACATGTGTAAGTGCATCTGTGTTGTGCAGTCTACAAAGGACAGAAGAGAGAGTTATGGACAGTTGTGAGTGCTGGGATTCTAACCCAGGTCTTCCTCAAGAACAGCCAGTGCTTTTAACCACTGAGTCATCTCTCCAGCCCTGTTTTTTTTAATATTTTTATTGAATTTTTGCAATTTTCATTCAATATAATTAAATTTTAAGTTTCTAAATAAATTATCTCGTGTTTGGAGATATAACATTTGTGACAGTCAGGATACATTTTAAACTGTTCTCATGAAAACTACATTCTTAGGTTTCGCAAGGTCAATAGTTCTGGTAAGGAGGATGTAGTAGTCCAGGCTTTGTAATATACACTAAGAATTTTGTTTTGCATATAGTAGAGTATTGAAGCACATCAGAATTAGATTGCAAGACTAGTTTTTAAACTGCCATATAATAAAATTCTGCTTCTTCTAATATATATCCACCAACATTATCAGGATATAGGATG